GAGAGAGAGAGATAGCTACGTTTATTAGTAGACGATTTGTTATTGTGTGTTAGTAGAGAGAGAGAGAGAGAGAGAGATGTAAGAATAATGGAAAAGGTGAAGTAAAAAAATAAGGGAAAATGGGGCAGGTATAAACTCTAAAAGGTTTTATATGATGTATGAACTAGGAAGCCTCCAAACCCATGGAGCGCTGCCCAATTCACAAGGTTTTCATGGTAGATTGTCTTCTGAATTAGTTTTAGCCCAATCAATGTCTCCCTTATTACGTTTTATGCTAAATTTTTAGTAATTTTGCAATCTCTCTCTCTCTCTCTCTCTCTCTCTCTCTTTTGTTCTAAACGAACTTTTTGGCCTCAAATCATGTCTCCCCCATTATGGCTTTTGCAAGATTTTGTAATTTTGTATTCGTTTGTAATCATTTTCCATCACATCTACAAAAGAATACATGCTCTTGAATTTGAATGGTTCTAAATTGTAAATTGTTAAATAATTCATCTCTCATGGGTATCGTGATAAATAATTCATCTCTCATGGGTACCATGAATTGAGAGTATATAAAAGAAAAAAAATTCAAGAAAGATTTCCGTGATTAGAGGAAATATAATAATTTCACCCTTAGTTTGGAGGAAATAGGCTTCCTATAGTGTTGGGATCATCTTTAGAAAACCAATATTCTCCTACACTGAAATCTCACACCTAGTTGTAGTTGGTAAGCTTTTTCTTTTTATATGATTTTTTATCTATTGGAAAAAGTTTTTTTATGGCTGCAAACTTAATTAGAGCTGTATAATTTATATTATTCATTTTATTTTAGATGGTGTTGATGTTAACACCTTTTTTTTAAGACCATCTGAAAAGATGCGTTAAATTTATAGCGCCTAACTAAAATAGGCAGTACCAACTATTTATAGACTACACCCCTAATCTAATCGATCAACATGCGTCTTGCCTATATTTAAAAAGATAAAGCAGGCTCGATCAACTCAAAAAGCACTACTTTTGTGAGAAAGATAATTTCTCTCTCATTTTAACTAGTTATATAAAAGAAATTAGGTGGTGGTTGATTGAAATGGCCTGAGATAGAGAAATATTCTAGCTGAAAATAAGAAATTATAATTAAAATGGCTGCCATGAGTTAATTGAACTTATTCATCAGCTGATTCAACTAATTTATCAAACAAAAGATACTATTATAGATTTCCTGCTCAAAATGATTTTGAATTTGAACAAGAAGGATCTTTGGTAACGTGGCTAAGCGATGAAAATACCCCTTATGCTCTAACGTCCGAAATTTAAAACAAAGTGATTTTAATGTAAAAAAAACATGTTTTGAGTTTCGAACTCAAAACATGAGGCTTTTTTGGATTTTTGCTAACAAAATGATTGAATTTCGCCCATGTTGTTAGAGATGCAAATTGTATAATATTTCAAAAAAGAAAGTGATGGAAGATGTACTTGGGCGAAAGAGTCAAGAAGATTTGTCCGCAAGTTGGTTGATTTAATCAATTCCTTTTCTCTCTGTGCATTGATCGTTTTAATGATTTTTGCTTGGGGAAAAAAATAGACAAATTTTAGGAGGAGAAAATGGCAACCATAAAATATGAACATATTTGTTGCTCCTAGATGTTTATTTCCTTTTTGGCTGCAAATTTTGGGGATATAACTTCTTAAATGTAGCGGCCAACTTGGAAAAAAATGCAAGTTATATGCTTTATGCACTTGCAGAAAAAAAACGAGGACTGTCTGATATTTAGAGTTAAGTTCTCAATGCAAAGAACTTATAATTCAAATATATTATTTTAAAAATAAGAATCAAGTCATATTTAGATTTCAAATATTTAGATTTTAAAAAAAATTAAAATTGTCGTCATCATCATTAGAGATTTTTTTTCAATTCTTTAAGGTTTTAATATTGATATGCTTCTAACAAGGTCATATCCTAAATGAGGCTATAAGTCATTTTTTTTCACTACTTTCAAACATGTTTTTTTTATTTTACTTTTTATTCTTTTTGGTCTTCCAATTTAATCGCTCCTCTTAATAAGTATTGTATAGTCCATTTAAATCTACTCTCTCTTTTTAACGTTTATTGGAGCCATACTTAAGTTATCATGTATATATTCATTTTGAATTATACTTTCGATTATCTTGCCATTCATTCATCTCAATATCTTAGTTATACTCATCCGATAGATATGTTGATATTTTAATGAATTTATCGAACCCATCCTCTCCTCTCTCTCTCTCACTTCTCTTGTTCCATCGCTCTCAAAGGGCGCGTGCTTGATTTCTAGAAGATGCAGTTTTGGGAAGCAGATACTCCAAAAGTTTCATGATCCACTGTCCAACTGGTGGTATCTACTTTGTAGCGCAAGTAGATATCTATTTACTGTAATACTTCCTCGATATCAATCAGATAACTTCCGGTTATCCAACTGAGAAGTGCTGTGGACACTGAAATCACAAATCAAGAACGCCCAATAGACAAAGGACCCCCTCTCTCTTTTTCGATTTACCGTCTCTCTGTAAGAAAGGAAGCAAAGTGGATTCTAGAGAGAGAGGTTTAACCCTATAGAAGTGGATTTTAGAGAGCGAAAGATGAGAACCATTATGATTTTCTTTGCCTTGCTCTCGTACAATACTTGGAATACAGCTCTAATGGCTCAAAGGTGATTGATTTGTGCTTCTAGCAAGATGCTCGACTGAAAACAGTTGAACGAGAATCTGGGGTTTCTTTCTCTGAGTTAACCAACAGGTTTGTTTGCTGTTTGTAAATGTTTCTTCCTTGAAAGGCCAGAAGCTTGGACGTTCTTTCTCTGATATAACTAGCGAATTTGAGCGTTGTTTCCTCCCAAAAAAAAAAAAAAGGAGTTAGGACTTACGAGTGGGTTTTCCTCTGAATTAAAAAAAAAAAAAACGCAGAGCTTGTTTGGCCTTTAGTGAGATGAACGGGAGAGCTTGGTCCCCCATTTTAGAGAGAGAAAGGCGACATGTCTTTTTTATTCTCTCTTCTGGTACAACCGAACAACGCATGGATGCAATAAAATTCGACTGAGAGATTTTTAAAGTCAACCAAGAAAAATTGTAACTTTTTTTATGAAAAGAAATTTCAAATACAAAGGTAGATCCATTTCAATCCACTCTTTGAAACAATAATATTATAGTTGCAGGAACCCTAATTGTCGGTAATTCTTCTCTCTCTCCAAGGGTACAATGATCCCCCAAACTGTCCTCTACTCTGTGCCATTAAGAGAGGAATATTTTCCAATGCCTCTTCAAAAACCTAGCGTTTAATTGCTTATTGCTTGCTTCTAAATAAGAATTCCCTAAACCCCTACAGGTTTTAACACATTTCTTCCCAAAAAAAATGGACAAAGTCACCAAAAAGGTCAATCCTTTTCGCCTCGCGACCCTACTCCGCCTTGAAAAGGATCCCAAAATGGCCCTGCAACTTTTCCAAAGCCCTAAAATTGGTAACCCATCTTTTCGCTACTCTTCTCTTTCATATGATCTCATTATTCAGAAGCTTGGTAAGGCAAAAATGTTTGAACAGATGGAAGCAATTCTTCAAGAGCTGCAGAAAGAGACCCGCTTCACACCTCCGGAACAACTCTTCTGTTCTGTGATCAAATTCTATGGTCGCGACCGGAAGCCCCAAATTGCTCTTCAAACTTATGAGAGGATTCCTTCCTTTCGATGCCCAAGAACTGTTCGAGCATTGAACACACTCCTTAACGCACTCCTCAATTGCAGAGATATGGAAACCTTTGGTCGAATCCATGATGAACTTGATCAATATGCTTCTCCTGATTTGTGTACTTACAATATTTTGATTAAGGCCTGTTGCTTGAATAATTCTCCCGATCATGCTTTTCAGATGTTTGAAGAGATGGTCTCTAATGGAATCCAGCCCAATGCAATAACCTTTGGGACTCTAATAACTAGTCTTTGTTCGAATTCGAGATTAAATGAAGCTTTTCGACTTAAGGAAGATATGGTCTGGTGTTTTAATGTGCAGCCTAATTCACTGGTTTATACTTCATTAATGAAGGGTCTTTTTAAGGCCAATGAATTAGCCCGAGCTTTTCAATTAAAAGAAGAAATGGTGGATAATGGAATCGAATTGGATTCGGGTGTTTATTCCACATTGATTGCAGGGCTCTGCAATGCGGGTAGAATGCAAGAGATTGATGGACTTTTAAAAAAGATGAAATCAAATGGGTGTGAGCCTGATATAGTGACTTATAATGCAATAATTTGTGGACTTTGCAAAGAAGCTGATCTCGAATCGGCTTTTGGAGTTCTTAATGAGATTACAAAGAAGGGTCATTGCAAGCCTGATGTTTTCACATATAACATATTGATTGGAGGACTTTGCAGACAGGGAAGAGCAAAAGAGGCAGCTGAGCTTGTTGAAGACATGCCAAGGAGGGGCTGCTTCCCTGATGTTGTGACTTATCGAATTCTTTTTGATGGTTTATGCCGGGAGATGGAGTTCGCAGAGGCAGGTCATCTCTTGGATGAGATGACATTTAAGGGCTTCTATCCCCGCAGTGCACATAAGCTTGTCGAAGGCTTGTGCAAGACAGGGGATCTGAAGTTGTTAGACAGTGTGTTGAGTAATATGGCAGAGGGGCTTATAATGGATCTATCTGCTTGGGAATTGGCAGTTGGTACAATTTTATGTGAGAACAGAAGTCAGGAGCTGCTTACTGTAATTGACATAATCAAATCTGCATGAATGGAGGATTGCTTACTGTAGTTGCAGTAAATGGAACTCAAAACATTGTAGCACCCCGCCACCTTGACCACCTAGTCTCGAGCCTATTCTAATTGGGTACGGGTTGTATAAAGCTGAGGTTCTAAACAGTAAAGTGCACCTTTACAAGTTGTGGTTTCAATACCGAAAATCTTTGTGATTGTCTTTAAATATATTTTAATTTTTAATTATAAAATTTAAAGCTAAAAAAATAGTGTAGATCGAGGAGATCTATAAAAACTTGAAAATCTTGAAAATTGACGGTTCAAAAATGCATTACAAGATGCATTATTTTCAAAACTTGAAAATAATTTTTTTCTCATGTCCATGCATCTTGAGGTCGAGATGATCAATTTGAGGATATTTGGGCAACCTCCTCAAGTGAAATTTTTAGGTGCGCTTTTGATTGTTTAGAGCTTCGGACTTTTCCTTTTAAATTTTGGCCTATATTTCTTGCATGGTTAAAAAATATGCATGCATTCTGAAGGTACATTAGAGTGTACAATACATATTTTTAGAAATTCAATTGGACATCAGAGAGAGAGAGCAACAAGGCTACAAAAAATTCAATTGGACATCAGAGAGAGAGAGCAACAAGGCTACAAAATTTTAGAGAGATTATGATACACAAAATGAAACAATTGTGCCTAAACATTAGGAATGGGGTTGAGATAAAGGTTGTATTACCACCTGTGACTCAACTAACTGTCACGGTTCGCATTCCTACCGATGCTAAATCCTTTGGAAAATTACTAACCCACTAGAAAAGCACAATTATGCTTAAAAATTCCCCATCATATGAACCTCATTCAAATGGGCACTCACATTGCTCTAGCCTATTCACCTGCACAACAGTTCTTGGGAGCAAAAGACATCCAAACATATGATCTTTTTTCAAGGCAAGGAGGCTTAGCAGCTACCTAATAGAAGAATGCCATTATTTTTGACAAATCATCTGCCCTTACAATCCCTACATTCAAAAAAAAAAAAAAGCGGAAAAAAAACTAAGAAAAACGCTTAGTCATAGTAATCACCATTGAAATAGTATTATTTTTCTTTTTTTATTAAGATAAAAACACAATATTGGGGTATGCCTATGGTTGGCAATAATTACTTAGAATCTTGTTCCAATCCCAATGGAAGTGGAACGCAAGTTCTTTGCTTCAAACTTTACCAGCACATCATGTAATAAGAACTGGGAAAGAATGCAAGAAGTTTATTTATAGAAAATTCTCGTGATCACCTATGGCTATCAGCTGTGAAATCTGATTGTCAAGGATGTGTCATTGATTGAGCCTCAAGTCTCATAATTTTTTTGTAACTTTGTTTTGAGAAATGACACACTTTGATTGGGTCATTTCAATTGTTATAGCCAGAGATATTGTAACCTCGCATACAAAATATAAAATATCTTATAGCATAAAATCCAGTCTGAGAAGAGTGATGACTTTAAACTTTTCTTTAACTCGTCCTATGCTTAGGTATAGGGGTTGGGCTGTGTTAGGTAAAATTTTACCAAAACTTATCTTGAATCCTGAATGGTGGATCAAAATTCGTATGGCTGACCTCAATTGGTTGAAAAAAGGCTTATGATAATATAAAATCTTAGAAGAATTAGGATATCCCTCAAGTAAAGGTGTTATTTCATGAGAAATATAATATTAGATTTTGAATGAATAGTTGAGATCAATGGTAGGGCCGACAATGGGCTAGGAGGTCTAGCCTGTATTACTTAGCACAATCCAAAAAGATAGGGCACAGGCCATAAAATGTGGCCCGAGGGCGAGGCCAGGGTTAGGACACAAGATGGCAAACCTAGCCCGGCTTGGTTTTTTTTTAACTTTTTCCCATATTTTCTTTGAGCATAATTGGCCTGACCTAGCCTAGCCTGAATAGAGCCAACCTCTTTAACTTGGTCGAGAGCTAGGCTAGGGCTAGACCTATAGGGACTAAGACCTGGCTAGGGCCAACACTGGCCTATACGGTTGCAAGCTGTAATCAATGCCTCATGAAATTACCAAAATAAATATTCTAATTAAATTAGCAAAGACAAGAACATGGCACCATCATTTTCCAAAAAGAACTAGGACACCTTTCACATTTGAATAAGACATGAAAAAAAAAAAAAAATTGTATAGATCTGCTTGATTATCACGATTTCAGATATTTTAAATATCATAATTAAAAACAACAATAGATAGATTTTTGACATAGTTTTGAGGTACACCTTACTTCAATAGTATAAGGTAGACACTTGACACCTTATACCAACCTCGCCCTTGTTTACCCGGACTGCCACCTATACATACGATCCTGGTTTTTTAGAGTTACTAAAACCTCATAAACCTGTTTTTTTGATAAGCCCCTGTGTGAATTCATGGCTAATGATTTTCAGTATCAAAAACCCTAGAATTATCTCCGTCTTTCAATGGAGCTTCATTACCCATTAGGACTCCAGAGTTCTTTGGCTGCAACTTTATTTGGAGATTCACCCAACTCCAGGATTTTTTATGTAAGATTAGGTAACCTTCCATTGAATAAGCACTGTGGAGTCTTAAATAGTAGAAAAGGCCGTTCTTTTCACTCATTAAATGTTGGAGAGCAAGGATTGCGGGTAATTTCTTGTTATTCTCCATTTCCCATTTCTATCTGAGCTAAAAATTCATTTAAATATATTGTCTCTGTTCTTTCTGCTTGTATTTGTCCCCATTCAAGCTCAAACTGCATATAAATCTGTTTTCTTTGTCCTTTTTAATACCATTTTTTTGGGTATTTTCCATGTTATATAGACACATATATGTGTCGGCGTCTGACTCCGATATGAGTGTTTGAAACACCAATTTGCGCTTTTTTTTGTTTGTTTAAGAAAAACTGTCTAGGTTTAGGAAGTTTGGAAAAATTGTGTCCTTGGCAGATTGATTCACGCAAGAAGAAACCATGGATGTTTGTGGGCATGATGCTTAGGAGTTTTGTGTTTGCTGGTTGCTACTATCTGGTTGTTCTTTGAATTAAGTAACGAATTATTGCGTAGGAATGACTGCATAATTTATATGAAATGCTCTATGCGTGTGTACTAATTAAGTATTCACCTGTTCCTTTTTTTTTGAGTTTGGTGTCAATTTTTGTTACTTGAAACGTCAATGATTACACTAGTTCGAATTTTTTGTTTAATTGAAAATTTGTACCTTTTAAGTATTGTAGTACTTGATGTGTTTTTCCTTGGTAGTAATATTAGTCTGTTTTGCTCTTTATGCTTTATACTTAATTACTTAGTGAATGGAGGATTTATACTTTCTGGATTTTGAAGTTAACAGTTGTTTTGTTTGAACTTTATTCATTGTGTTTTCTTGCTTGTTCCAAGTTCTAACTGAAGGGATGATTTGCACTTTATGGGTTCTGAAGTGAACTATAAATTTTGATTTTTTTTATTTTTAATTTTTGAGGCCTATCTTCATTTTTTTGTTTATTTACTGTTTTGGACCTACTTCTTAGATTTTTGGAGCATTGGGAGAACATCACTATTAAGCATGATAAGTCATTTTCTTCCAACATTTAAGTTTTTTTTCTTTTTTAAAGAAGGCATTATAAATAAAATATAAGTAAATTGTCCAGTCCAGCTTGGACAAGAATTACATTTGTATTATTCAGCATATGCAGTTGAGCCATTGTGAGATCACTTCAGGGAGTGATTTTAGATTTTGTGTCGTTTCAGAGTGAGAGGATGCTTGCCACTATATTGAGAGCAAATAAAGAAATTAATGAGGCTGTTATTGGTGATGCCAAGAATTCCAAAGAGGAAGCTCATGAAAATGATTCAAGTAGTGATGATGATGAGAGCGATGGTTCATTATTAGACGAGGAAGAGAGAAGAGAGATGAGGAGGATAATTCGTGAGGTGATCTCTAGGGATGCTGAAATTGAGAATGATGAAGATGAGGACCCAGATGAGAGGAGAAAGAAAGTGGAGAGGCTCTTGGCCGACTACCCACTTGTTGTCAATGAAGAGGACCCTGACTGGCCTGAAGATGCAGATGGATGGGGATTTAATTTCGATCAGTTCTTCAACAAGATCACGATAAAAAATGTTAAGAAGGATGATGAGGATTATGACAGTGAGAAAGAGGTTGAATGGCAAGACGATGATTACATTCGTCCAATAAGGGATATCACCACGAAAGAGTGGGAGGTGACAGTATTTAAGGATATTAGCCCTCTTATTATTTTGCTGCATAATCGATATAAAAGGTCAGTTTGTTTGCTCAGATCTACTCTTAATCTTCTTTCTCAAGGAGTTTGAAATTCAGGGATAAAGTGAGAGATGGGGATAAGAAACTCCATCGCTATTGTCAAAAACAGAAGGTAATTGGTGAGTTGGTAGGCTCGTGTGTCCACCATGGTTTTCAAGGAATTTACAACTTGAAATACTTCAAAACACTGTAAATCCATTTCTGTATAAGATCCCTAATTTGCAACTCGAAAAACAGTGGTAGTCTGATGATGTTTAAAGAATTAAAATGAGAAATTGACAAAAAATACATAATGGACCATTTTTAAACTGCTCAACTTGTTTTAATGTTTTTTTGTAAATGTGGTCATCTAGATGATAGGCCTGAAAATTTTTGGATCCGAGAGGGTGGACTCACTGTAGCAGGTGTGTCCGTGGACACACCTAAACCGTACACCTTTCCCAAAGAAACGGTCTCACTTGCCTACATTGCTGATTTCTAATGTTTTTAAGCTTTTGTAGAAATACCTTGAACTCTACCACACAGGAAAATGAAAATGATCAAGGAAGTATGAATTTTATTTTTGTTAATAATGTAAGGAAAAAGTTTATATAGAGCCGAGGCTCTAAACAATCAAATTAGAGCCCACCTCAAAAATTTCACTAAAAGAGGTTCTTCTGATGTCCAAATATCCTCAAATTGATCATCTCGACATCAAGATGCATGAACATGAGAAAAAAATGGATTTCAAGTTTTGGAAATAGTGCATCTTGTAATGCATTTTTGGACTGTCAATTTTCAAGATTTTCAAGGTTTTATAGATCGGCTCGATCTACACTATTTTTGAAGCTTTAAATTTTATAATTAAAGATGAAAATATATTTTAAGATTATCACAAACATTTCCAATATTGAAACCACATTTCTCGGCACTATTTGAAAGTGCGCCTTAATTTGATTGTTTAGAGCCTTGGCTCTATGCAAACAGCACCCATAATATAAAGATGGCTCATGAAGTAAAATAATGATACTATCAAAATGGTTTCTATCTGCCAACGCTTTACATGTCTTTTCAAACTGGTTGCCTCCTTATATATAGCCCCTCGCAAGCATTCTCTTACCTTCATGCATCCTGATCTAGGATAAATTTTAGTGCATGAAATATTCAGGGTTGACCCTAAGGTAAAATATATGACATTCTCATTTAATTGACAATTTCCTGATTCTTTACTTGTTTCATCAGAATCTATTACTAACCTCATACAAACCTTGATTCTCTCTTGTTTAAATTTTCAGAATATGTATATTGGATGCTTAAGTTGCAAGGCTTCTCATATTTTATTGGTGTTTTCATAGAGAATACTGATATCATTTCTGGTAAATTAATAATAACTTGTTTTCTATGATCTAATTAACTGATAACATTCCAGAAATAATTTAGAAAATATAGCAATTACTATGTATTGGGCTGCACATGATTCTGGTTAGTTGTGTCATTTTTCTGAGTCTGAAACATTGGATAATTTTGGGCTGCACACGATTCGGGCTGGTTGTGTCATTTTTCTGAGTCTGAAACATTGGATAATTTCTTTTTTTGAAGCCTTTGTGGTGAATTAGCTGGTGGAATGACTTTTCCATAGGCTCTCGGGCCTGCACATTGGCATTTGTTGTGTAATAGTTAAACTTTTGGTGCCATCTCTTGCAGGCCACAAGAGAATGAAAAAGCTCGTAATGAACTAGAGAAGGCAGTTCGCATCTTTTGGGACTCTAGGCTGCCTTCGCCGAGGGTAAGCTGGCTTCCCATGATTCTATTTATGGGTTTTTGCATTACCTGATTAAGTAAAAAGAACTTGGGTCTTTTTGTTTTTCTTCAAGTGATTCATAGGTTCTCATATTTTGTATTCACCCTTGTTATCAGTGTGTTGCAATTGATGCTGTTGTGGAAGTTGAATTGGCCAATGCTTTGAAAGTATCAAAGTTCCCTCAAATTATTTTTACAAAAGCTGGAAAAATCCTACATCGTAACAGAGGTAATGCTGTGTGTGTGTGTTTGTGTAAAGGTAAAATATGATTTAAACAATAGTAGGGGTTCAGTGGCTGCTCAGCATCGGTTACCCATAAAATTATGCAAGAAGATGGTCTTAAAAGTCGAGTCCAATTCAAATATACAATTTTGGGTGGTGAGTTTTTCATCACCCATTGATCTCAACTATTCATTAGAATCTTAGGTTAAGTAGGTGACGTCTTTTGAATGTTACCTTCATGAACGGGATGTACTGATTTCTTATAGGATTTTATACTATAAGATGATCTACATTTGTGCATGAGGTCATAATCATCCCTAGACGATGGAATTGAAATTGAGTGGCTAGGGGTACGTCATTTCTCAACACAAAGTTGAAGAAAATTTTTCTGAGACTTTGGGCTCAGTCAATGACAAAGCCTGAACCGCCCGATTTTTCGATTGATGGCTGGGGGTTAATCGTGACCTTCTCATACTACAGGCACATGATCTTATTGTGTACTTTCCTAGTTCTTATTTGATGATGTGCTTACAGAGTTGCAAGCAAGGAACTTGTGTTCCTGTTCTGTGACTGAAGACCTCAAAGCGATTATTGCCAGCCTAAAAAGTAGTCCAATATTATGTTCTTATGTGAATAAAATAAGTATTCAAATAATGCTATTTCAATGTGATTACTACGACTGAGCTTCTTTTTTCTTTTTCTTTTCTTTGCATGTAGAGATTTTTAGGGCAGATGATTTGTCAAAGATGATGGCATTCTTCTATTATGGAGCTGCTAAACCTCCTTGCCTTGAAGAAGATGGCCAAGGTGAAAATATCCCTCCTCCACCTTAGACTAGTGTTGCTGCATGGGTTTGAGACTGGAGAAATGTGGAGCAGGTGGACATGCTAGAGCATGTGTAAGTCCATTTGTATAAAGTTCATATGATAGGGAAGTTTTAGGCATAATGTTGTATTTGGTATATCACAATCTCTCTAAAATTTTGGAGCCTTGTAACTATATAGTCTCTCTCTCTCTCTAGTTCTTGTCAAGCTCTAAGAATGTGTAGTGAACTCTCTATTGTCTCATTCAAGTTCTCAAAATGTTGGTTGTGAAAGAATCCAAGAAATCATAGGCCATAATGCTTCCTATCTGTAGGCATAACTCTTATATTCTTCCATCTTCTATTTGTATCATAATTGCTGTATTGCTGTATCACCATAGTTTATCAAAAAATTTATGGTAACCAGTTAAATCTCTTTCTATAATGATACCTATCCTTAGGCCCGTCTCTTATATTCTTCCATATCTCTTCTATCTGTAACCATAATTGCTGTATTGCTCTCAATCCCCATGGTTTATCAAAAATTATATGGCAACCAGCTAATTCTCTCTCTCTCTGTAGTCTCTTTTTTTTTCTCTATCATGTAGTTATAGTCTCTCTCTCTCTGTAGTCTCTTTTTGCCTATATTGTAGTTATACTCTATGTAGTATCTTGTTTCTCTCTCTGCAATATCTTTGACGTGTCTTGTAGTTATACTCGCTATCCGTTTCTCCCTCATATATGAATGATATTAGATGTAGTTTAGTAAAACCGTGAAGAATGTAGAATTGCAGTGGCTTCTTCTAATGGATTATTAAACAGGTTTTGTACTATTATTTTCCTTCGCTCACGTGGGAATACTACCACGGGTCTATTGTGTCCGTTAAGCACCTTTTGTACTATTACTTTCATCCGCTTGTGTCCGGAGCTGCAATTCATTTGTGTATGCTGCTTTCGCGCCCCTGCGTTCGTAGAAAATGCCACAATGTAATGCATAAGGATATTTTTCCTTCATTCAAGAATAAAAATAAAAAGATTATGATATTAGTTACAAGATACTATTTATCTTTTGTATTTGGAAGTCACAATCATTACTGTTCATGAAATTTTAAAATGAATGATCGGAATAATATCATTGAATAGACACAAAATTTTAAAAAAAGATTCTCGAATTTCGTAACTCATCGCAAGCCATTCAATTAGATATCTAATAAGTGGGATAATTGTAACTTTCATATACAAAAGAGAAATGGCCTCTTTATATACAATCCCATCAGTACTGGTTCAAACTCCCTCTAAAAACTTTTCAAGAAAATGCATGATTCTTCAAATTTTGTGAACATCGAGCTTGGCTTAACTTTGATATATGTTAAAACGATAGAGATACATAGGTCAAAGTCTAACGCAGCTATCATACATGTCCATTAATATTTATCCTTTTAAGAGGTATGATTTTTTACAACGTTGAGTACCCACAAATAAAATTCAATAAAGAATGGTAAGTGTCTAGGCTTCGTTAGATTCGAACACAGGCACCATGTTCTTTGTGTCGATTGAGTAAAGAATCATAAACACGTGTGTCCATAATACATAAATTCAAATTCGGCAAGAATTTATGGGCCAGTACCATTGCGAACACTTGGAAATTGCTCATATTAAATACATTTACCCAACCGATGGATCCAGACCTCTCGATTAGAACTCAAAACTGGTAGAACCAAGAAACCTAAAACCTCTCATAGAACTGCAGGAGCTCTTCAATATCTGCACATGGCCTCCACCTATACAGCACTAAAGACAACTGAAATTTTTTTTCCCCTTTTTTATGAGTAAAACTAGACATTTGTAATGGTTTCTGAGGGCTTGTCTATGGGCAACTCAGATGAGAAAACCAGAAACTGAAAGAAAAGGTTCAATGTTGAATGTGTAGAAGTCTCTGCCTAATATCCCTTGTTTCCTCTTATCCGAGCTCGCATGTCAACCTGAAATAAAGAGTAATTGATAAAAAAAACTGAAATAAAAAGTACAATCAAAGAAGCTGCACAATCTTCTGATGTCCATCACCACACTGCTTATCTCAATTAACACTTAGCCTTGGCATAACTTTGAGTTAATATTCATTAGATACTAGGCAGCTCATTTCTGAAGGGGTATTGGAGCATCAGCAGATGCACCAACCATAGACCATCAGACTTCTAAATTCCATCTTATATATGGATTTCGTATCCAAATTTTCACAGTCAATAGTTTGCATGAGGTGGCAACATTAAACAATCAAAGTAAGGTGCACCTCTAAACTTTGTCATAAGTTGTAATTTTGGTGTAAAAAATATTTAGGATAGCTTAGAATCTATTTTCATCTCTTATCATAAAATTTTGAACTCCAAAAATGGTTTCAATCAAATAGGTCTATAAACTCATGAAAATCTTGAAAATTGACGGTCCAAATAATGTATTGCAAGATGTACAATATTCTGGATTTGAGATCTTTTTTTATATATCCATACATCTCGATGTCCAGATGATCAATTAGAGATGGTTTTCCAACGTCAAAATAGCATTTTCCAATGTCAAAATAGCATTTTCCAATGGTTTTTGGAGGTGCACCGTAATTCTACAATTTAAGGTGTCAACCTTATATAAACTTTTTCCTATGAACAAATGAGTTTTGAACCTGGAAAATAATCTATTTCATTTTTTTTTTTGGGCCGTTCATTTCATTTCTTTCACATCATCAGATCTGCACAATTTTTGAAGCTGCAAATTCATGGATCTAAGACGAAAATGTATTTGCTGTAATTTAGGATGTGTTTCGAATCGTAAATCCATTTGAATACCAATGTGGACTCATGCATCTGCAGATGCACAATAAACTTTCCAATTTCTGAGACCATGTAAATGCTGATCAACCCTACTAACAATCTTTTTTTGGTAGCTGTTTTCAAAATACTGCTGAAGACGTCACCCCCCCCATTACTTTTGGGTAGGTAAGTTGGCTTTGCAGGGGTTTAACCTTTCAAGACAAAAACCTCCCCATAAGAACCAAGTTTCACACAAAGGATCAAAGACATCAGAACATGAGATATTCCATCCTGCAAATTTGTTTGGATAAAACAAACTGTATAATTGAACTGTACTCATTTTGAATAGATTGACAAGAAAACATGACATTTACAGGATACGACTACATTGTACAAGAGAACCAGGTTGGAGGGTCATGCAAAAGTTGCATGAGAGAAGCAAACAAAATGACATGATTTAAGGCAAAGTAAAAGGAAAAGATAAAGTGATGGGGCAAATAGCCATGGGAAACGAAAAGGGTTCAAATTGAAAGATGTTTCCCCTTAACCCCCTCCCCGAATGTCAAGATCCATTTCAATGAAATGTCCGCCATGACTTCATATTATGATGTTTATGCCACCCTTTTTTTTCTTTTTCTTTTTTTGAATATTGCTAAAATGCCCACCCTTGATCACAAGAGCAAACACAAACTTGCATCATCATCATCATCAGAGCCTTTTCCCAACTATATGGGATTGGCTACATAAATCTTAGTCCGCCATTCTTCTTTGTCAAGGAAGATACCCTCGGTGAGACTATACCCTCATATCTTTTATCACTACTTCCAACCATGTCCTTTTGGGCCTACCCTTTGCCTTTTTTGAGCCTTCAACCCAATTTATGGAAAGTTTTAACAAAATTTTACGTTGGGTGCCTACCTAACACAACCCATCTCTTTTACCCGGCTTGAGACGGGTTAAAAAAAGTCTAAGGTCCTCACCCTTCTTAGACCAAAACACAAACTTCATATGAACCATATTACTCAGACTCTTCATTCTTGCTGAATTATCAAGTGATGAAACTACGCCATATCAACACTTCAGACACATGGGTATCAGAAAAATGCATTGACCACACTGGTGGCGTTTGAACACAAGATGACCTGTGCCATGTTTGTGTGGTCTACCACTATGCCAAGTTGCCACCACATCTAAGTGTAACAAATATAAACTATTTATTATATTAACATTAAAAGTATATTATTTAATTATAATATGATAATCATATGGATGTGCCTTGCCATGTTGTCTTTTTATGCCGAACTACTAGACATTAGCAATCGTATTTGGACACATCCGTGTCCAAGTAACATAGCTTATGGATGCACATATAAACATGAGCTCCCATGTACATACATATAGAATACATGCATACATATACATGTGTGTGTGTGCAGGTAACATTCTTATGTGTGAAAGCATGCAGACATGCAGATAATAAAAAGATACATGTACATATGTCTCATAGCTATTTCTGATCAAAATAACTAACACAGGAGAATTATTGCACATCATGGAGTCAATATGAAGAAAGACCCCCTTTCAAGTGAGTAATTCAGGCCCTCTTAGACCTTCCTATATGCACAAATTACACCAAAGATAATTTTACCGGGACAGTTTAATATGAGATATAATAACTCATAAATAAGGAGGATTAACATTGTCACCATTAAGGGTCCTCCTATATGATCATGATCTCATCTGGCGGTCTAAAAATACAGCGTGAACAGAGTCATCAATATGAAGGAAAATCTAGAATGGGGAAGGAGGAAAACGAAAGAAGAAGAAATGAAGATGAGACAAAAGGATTCAGATGAGGGAGACGTAAAGCAGCGACAGTGAATAGAGAGGAGTGCAAGAGTAGAATGGAGAGAAAGAGTCAACGAGGAAGTCCTGTCAAGGAAACACAGTCTAACTATGCCAAAATAAAGTCTCCACATGCATGCCCAAATGAGCGGAGCTAAACATTCATAGGGAAGAGCTCGCATAATCTTATTATGCTAATAAATGCGTGGATCAGTAAATATACATCAATATTTCCCTGATTTGAACCCAAAATCCAATGTAACAAATCTCATTATGGATAACATCAATAAAAATTGATCAAGTGTCATTTATATCTTTTAGTGCATATTTTACTATCAGACTACCCGAATAAAGTATCATTGCAATCAAGTAAACCAAAAAATGGAACTATATCTGGTAATGAGAGAGATCTCCATGACATTGATATGAATAATCTAAATCAATAGCTTCATTGGAAATTGCAAATATCATATAGCTTATTTCAGTTACTTAAAAGATAAGAATAATCAGGTGAGCCAAACCTGGCCTCTCTTGCAATTGAAGTATGTCTCCCTTAGCCCCACACACTCACTTGGTATTGAGGGTTCCTTTTCTCCTGCACATTCCCGATACGAGCGATTCTCGACCTAAGATACAAAGCCAATTTGAAGGTTCTTTACTCAGCAAACTCAAAGAAAAACACCAACTTGAAAGTCGCATTGAGAATACCAAGTCAACAGAAATTGTTCTTTGTAAAAATTAATGCTGAATATGTGGTCTTCGTCCAACCAAATCCACAGCTAGAAGAATGCAGTTTGAGCAATGTAGCCCCAATATTCCATATTCTTTTAATGCATGCAACCATGATATACTACATGTATTCACTACTGTACCAAATATAATGGCTCCCAATGGGCTGGGCGGCCTGGCTGACCGGGCCCCAGTAAGCATATGTGGCCCATATGGCCAGGCAGATCATGGCCTGGCTCGGAATAGGCAGGTATTGGTCTAGCCTTGCCAAATCTAAAGGAAGGGCTCACGCCCAGACCCGAGAAAAACAATGCCCATTGCCACCTCTGTGAAAGATATACATGTATTTAAGAACACACACACTCAAATCGATGCGTTTGTATGTGTGCATGCATGTATGCATGAAAAACATATACAGTACATGCGCACATCTGGGATGAACATACATACACAAATATTAGTGTGTGTTGTAGAGTTGGGCATTTGTTTAAGCCAGATGACTTTAAAACGCCCTTATCATTTTCTACCCATTGGCATGGGTGGTCATTTTAGTATGGAATTACCTAAACAAATGAAGTTCTAAAGTGCCAGCCTGCCCTAAAAAACAAGCATAAAACTCACTAGGGTAATAAAGCAAGAATGAATAATACAAGAAATGGGAGAAATTTGAGAATTGCTGGGCAGGGTTTTTTTTTTTTTTAAAAAAAAAGCTTTGCTTCAAACAAGACATGAAAAAAAAACAATTCAGAAAATACCTAACTGAATTATGCTAACAATAAGTCAAAAACATGAATGAAGGAAATATAACACAAAAATCACTGAGCTAATAAAACAACATGAAAAAAAGGAAATGGGGAAAGTTTGGGTAGTAACCCCACCTCCAAAAAAGCCAAAACAAAAAATCTGCTGGAACCAAGACATGGAGCATTGGCAAATACTCCTGATTGAAATATGCCAAACAATAATAAGTCAAGTAAAAACAGCGAGGGGATATAATAGGAAAAGTATACAATGAGACCGTTTACTTTTGGTACAAGGCGATCACAATTAATCTTGAGCATTGGACGTGAAATTAGATGGTTGCATTTATTCCATTGACCAAGATCAAACTTCAAAATAAATTTCTCGAACTTTGTGACACACCCAAGCTATCAGATTTCACATCGGATGGTTATAAGTAATTGTGACGTCCTTGTATTAAAGGTAATTGGTCTCATTGTATACAATCCCGATATAATTTATGCAGAAACATGATAATTTGAAAAAACCAAGAAGATAAATTAATTGTAACGTGAAGGGTCCACAAATAAAAAAAATAAAACAAATGATACCGATTAAATTTGGTAAAGAATGTGGAAAAAAATAACCAATAAATAACTAAATTTGAGAATTAGCATATAATCAGATACAAGAAAGAATAACTAACCTAATATAATACAATACATTAACAAAGTTCATGAGGAAATTAGCTCAAAAGGATGACCTGTTATTAGCCCAAATATAATAGAAAAACAACAGGTCCTCCAATTTTCCCATGAATAGAAAAAAAAAAAATACAGTAATTAATTCTCTCATAGCCCAAAAATTCCCCCCTAAAATTACAAAACTATTTGCGAACAACGAATGATATATAAGCAATGAACAAGAAAAAGTCCAGTAGAGATACGGGAATCAAAGCCACAAACACATTGGTCTCCAATAAACTATTTAAGAAACGCACATGAAAGCAAGAATAAAACTAAAGAGGGAAAAACCCAACAAAGAAATGAAGAAAATAACTGAAAAAAGTGGATAAAATGGGGGTCGCTAATAACAAACTACAATTAAAACCCCCAAATTAAAAATGAGAACAGACCCATGTTGAAAATGATAATAGAATTAAAGAAGGAAAAACCCAACAAAAAAAAAGATGAGAAAAATAGAAGGAAAAACAGGCACAAAATGGTAAATAACAAATCACAGACAACAATTAGAAAAACCAAAACAAAAAGGAATAAATAAAATAAAAGGAAAATACAAAACAATTAAAAGACAAATACATACTGAATTAATTACATACCTTAACACAATTAGATTCACTGAGGCATTTAACCAACTCCATGGCGAGGCCCTTGCAAGACTTGGACATTGCTTCTTCCTTTTGCCGCCAAAGAGCACTCGCTGTATAAAGAGAAAGTGTAAGACAGTTAAGCCCTTGACATTATAAAAAATGGCGTAAATGCCCTGTGACCTAAACACCCTCTCCGATGAATGGTGATTTATACATGATGGATAATGCTTATATAAGGTATCAACATGATACAAAATAAGAATGCTGTTTTGATATTAGAAAATCTTTAAATTAATCTTTTCGATCTCGAGACATATAGATATGAAAAAAAATTAAGAATTTGGAGTAATAAAAATAGTGAAACTTATAATGTATTATATACACTATCTATTTTTTATAAATTTACTTAATCTATATCATTTTTTGAGCTTTAAATTTCATATAACTAAGGATGACAATCGATTGTCATGCCATCACAAGTTCTCTAGCTTGGAAATTGCTTATTGCTTTCCACGTTGTTTTGTGGTACGCAAGACTTCAATTGTTTGAGGTTGATGCCCTATACAAACTTCGCTTGTAGGTAATAACCCTTGGCTTTTTTAATCCACTGTATTAAAATCAGTATTTTAAAATCCAGAATACCGTTTGGATTGGCTTGAACTGATCTAAATTGGCGGGATCAAGTATCTAGATCAATTAAATAGGCTAAAAGTTGGTTTAGAAAATAAAAAAAAATATGTGACCATTTATCTTTGATACAAAGTGATCATAATGTAAAATTAAGTGGTTGCATTTATTGTATTGGCTAAGCTCAAACTTCAAAATAAATTTTTTCGAACTTTGTGACACATCTAAACTATCAGATATCACATGGGATGGTAATAAGTAATTGTGATATTCTTGTATCAAAGGTAAATGGTCTCATTGTAAACAATATCATAAAATAATGCTAACAAATAGGGGCATTGAGTGGAAACATTTATCGTCTGTATAACGAATCTAATCCGTATTAGTGATTTGTGATTTGGATCTTAGGTTTTAAATATTGAGTTAATACAAACATTTGCACGTAATCTTTCCCATTTATACTTGTAAAGTTTGATAGCTCAAAGTGTGTAACATATTTAAGAAATGAATATATTACAAAATGGCTATAGGTTAAAATGAACAGCAATTTCGCCTACCATCATCATCATCTAAAGTTCATCGTACGATCATAATTGTCCGGTAGTGTTTCATTTGTCAGTTTTTTTACAAATCGAAATAACCTGAAATTTGGAGCGTGTGTTCATAAAAAATAGACGAATCTAAAAAAAATATCAAAAAACTATTTTACATTAAAAAATTAACCAAAATACCCCTAAAAAGTTTTAGGGGTATTTTGATCAAATTAATTTTCACGAATTATTATTTTTATATCTTTTTCATATATTTGCCTATTTTTTATGAACACACGCTCCAAATTTTAGGTCATTCCGATTTATATATATAAAAAAATGAAACACTACCGGACCATCGTAACCGTACGATAAACTTTAAACGGTAATGAAGGTAGACGAAATCACTATTTATTTTCGCTTATAGGCCTTGGGAAGACTTTTCCTTTAAGCAATCTTATTGTGGACTTTATGTTCATGCAATGACACATCTCTAACCACCCAATTTAAGGTGTAGTGGTCAATGATGTTTTATGATTTGTTTGTACCAAAAGTGAGCAGTCTTCTCATATATAGTTTCTTAAAAATTTAGTCAAGATATTATATATGACATGAATACTTTTCTTTTTTTCCTTTTTGTTATTTTTGTCAAATAAAACTCGACTTTGGACTTTCAATATTTTGATCCATAACTCATGTAATGATTATAGTCCTAAAAAATCTGGAGCAATAAATATAGGGATTATATATTATGTGACCATTTAGTTTTTGTACAAGGAAGTCACAATCATCCTTAGCAATTGCATGTAATATTTAATGGATTGAGATGTGTCACAACATTCAAGTATTTTTATTTTGGACGTTATGAACACATTCTTAACAACCCAAATTCATAGTTAAATGGTTAGTAATATATATGATCTTTTTATGTCAAAATTAAATAGTCTTATTATATATATTTCAACATATTAAGCAAATTGTTTAAATTATTACCCTCAAGTTCTTCCTCCAAAACATTTTTTTTTTAAAATATCTACGAGTATTCAGTATTTTGACCATCTAATATGTCTCATTCAAATAACATAAGTACTCCCATTGATTCACGGACCGAAAAAAAGAAGAAGGAAAAAGGACATGAGTATTCCACCTTTCGGTATAAGTTACATTTGTTGAAATGCCGTTGTTTGTTTAGAGTTCCTAACCCTTAAGAGACAAATTATTAAACTATTACTTCAACAACATCTTGACTTATTTATTGACTTTAAACCCTGAATATCTGAAACCTAGATTACTGAGTTTGGACATTACACAAAATATAGGACTTGATTTATGTGTTGTAAGCCGGCCAAACAAGACAAAACATAAAGCAAGACAAAAAATAAGTCTTAGCAACAGGCCTTCAAGATTTGAAGTTATGAATTATTTTTGGCCTGAAGTCATAATTATCTCGAAAGTATATTACATCTTTAACATCTAAAACTATCATGTGAGTCATAATTTAAGATCTTGAAACTCCAAAGGGATGAATATACAATAAATAAATAAATAACTCAAATATTATATATTTTTATTCATTTTTTGCTTTTTAAGAATGCATTTAGGAGTCTAGTTTTATCCTTTTTTTAAAAAAACCTGTATCGAGATGAAGTTTTATACATCCATGCTTATCACTATCATCATTTGTGAAATATAAAAATAAAAAACAAAATATCTACATAAATTTTCAGGGCATTTTGATCATTTTGGCTTTTTTCACTTATTTTATATTTTTAAATTCCCACAAATGCATAATGAGAAGTATGGACAGGCTTAATCTAATATATAGAAAAAATCTTAAAATTAAAAATAGGACAAGCGTAAAATATAAAATATTGAGAACAATTTGTAGGTTACACAAAATATAAAGGATATTTACGTAATTTTCTCTAAAAAAAATAAAAAAATAAAAAGATATTATGGAAAAAGATTTTTTGAATTAATGAAAAAATGTATTTACTATATTACTCCATCGGACAAAAGGCCTGCTAGGGAGGAATTTTTTGATATGAGACATTAGGGATCACGAAACAACTAGATGATTATCCAAAAAATAAAAGATTTGTAATTCTCAGATCTCACCCTCAAAAAATTAGATGAACTATATTAAATTTTGAGAAATTATTCTTTTTAAGTTCACATATTTATATCAACCTACTTGCTGAAGTTATTACATCCCAAAATTCTCAGTTCTAGATTGGGTTTATCCCGGAGGAGCAAATACACATTGTACTCCTAGATTGGGTTTAACACCGGGGAGCAAATACACATCGTACTCCCGCGGAAGCATGAAGTCTCTTGACATGAGAAATTAGGTGTATTGGAGGGTAAATTTCCCTGTGCACTGGAAAATTTCGCGGTAACTTGCGATCTGAGAATCGAGAAGAGCAAATACTTCAAAAAATTTGTGCGAGAGAGAGAGAGGCTTTTCGGGAGAGAGAGAGAGAGAGAGAGAGAGAGAGAGTGTTGTTAGAGAGAGAGAGAGAGAGAGTAGTAGTAGTAGTAGGTAGTAGTACGTACGTACGTACGTACGTACGTACCGTACCGTACCGTACCGTACCGTAACCAACCGTAA